ACTCTCAAGCACTCTGAGACATTTTGATGTGATAAGATGCTATATCAAATGCAATATCATTATGCAATGTAATATTATTATTTCCAGGCAGACTCCTTTGTCACAGAAGATGCATGAGAGCAGGCTGGCACTGCCAGTAGAGAAGTGCTTGATGCATATCAGTTTGCAATTCCCAGAGCATTGCTCTTAAAATCTAGAGTTTAGTGCAGTGCAGCAATTGTGGAGCAGGGATGGGGTGGAGGGAATCAAATCTGTTTGGAGAGGTGTGTCATTTTAGAATGTTAGATGTGACCTCTGAAAACAAAGTGGCATCCAGTAAAATATTTTAATAATAAATGATAGAATCTGTAACAATGAGACATTGCAAAGCACTTTACAGGAATTGCTGTCAAATGTTGTGTTTGTTGATTTGCAGACAAACACAACAACCAACTGTGTGCCACAAGACTCCACAATCATCCATGAAGTGAACAAAAAACAAATCTGGAGCAGTGTTGGCCAGGGTACTGGAAGAAGTTCTTGTCTTTTTGAATACTGCCATGGGATCTTAAACATTCACCTGAACAGGTAGACAAGGACCTTGGTTTAACAAACATCAGAAGGATGGCACCTCTGGCAAAGCAGTGGACCCTTTTATTGCACAGGAACATCAGCCTATGGGGACAATATTTCAAACAATTTTAGGTTCAATGGGAAAGACCTTGTAATGAAACAAAGAAAATTATCTGACTAGATCATGATTGTGGAGTCTTGCTGTACACAAATTATCATGGATGCACTTTCCACCTCACCAAGCCAGTACAGAACCTTGGTGTCTTATTCGATTCTCAACTGTCTTTTAAATCCCATATCCATGCCATGACTCATTCTGCCTTTCCCCAACTCTGCAACATTGCCTGCCTCCACCACACTCTCCCTCATCCTCACCCGGCTTCATTGGCTCCCCATCCCCCAGAGGATCAAGTTCAAGATCCCTGTCCACAACTTCAAACCCTTCATGTCCTTGCTTCTCCCTACCTCTGCGACCTTCTTAAACCTTATCATCCTGCCTGCTCCCTCTGCTCGGGGGCCACTGGCCTGCTCCACATCCCACACCATACGCAATCCACCATCGGTGGTTGGGCCTTCAGCCTTTCTGCTCCCAACCTCTGGAACTCCATCCTGGAGCCACTTTGCCTTGCCCCCTCCCTTGCCTCCTTCAAGGTCAATCTTCAAGATCTTCCTCTTCAACCGTGACTTCAGTCATCTTCCAACCCCCACATCCCTTGCCCTTCACTCTTGATCCCAACCCCCAGCTCAGGGGCAGTGCCTTGGGATGTCCTCCAGACGTGATAGGGGCTATATAAATGGAATTTGTTGTTGTTGACTGAGAACCAGAATTTGCAGATTGTGAAACTGAAACTAGTTGTTTCTTCAATCACCCATCTAATTTATGGGTGGCCCTTATTACAATCCATTATAGTAACCAATAATCTTTTAAGTAATTCAAACTAATCTCCATTGTGTATTCATTAAGGCAGCATTGTTCCTTGCTATATTCTGTGTCGCCTTCACACACCCAAAGATGAATACTACACACAAAGAAAATTAAGAGTAAATTTCTGCTGACCACATCCATTCAAGCAATGCCTTTGTTGTTATAAAGAAGCTTATCTTCACAGTCTAGCCTTATGGATGTTGATTCTGTAATTGCCTCTACACTCGTACGCCAATGAATGTTTTTAAGGGAGAAGCGTATGGTGGTATATCTTGAAGGTATTTTTGTGAAACCGGGTATGTGTTGCCTTAGGCTGTCCAATTGTTTTCTTTAATTGGATTTTTAAAAAAACACTCTTTTGCATTTTGGATGAAATCAACTGATTTTAACATTCTTTGCCCTAGGCAGGACGTGCAATGAAAGTTCATGTGGTTCTGCTGTTTGCAATCACAGCATTCAAATTATGCATAATTTAGTTACCATGGTTTCAGTCTGGGATCACATAAAGTCAACTATAATTATTACCAATGAGGGAAGTTCTGCATTTACCTTGGGACATCGAACATGTGTTTATAACACACCAGAAAAGGGCCAGAATTAGTAGGAAATTATTTAAGTACACTTTATTGTTTCCTTCAAAGGCATCTGGAATTATAATGAATGACAACAGGAACTGTTGCAAATGATCATCATATTTAGCGATATTTTAAAATAAAACCATAATGATATGGTACATTTCCAAATATCCAGTTAATTGGTCTTTTGTCTACAAACATCCATGGGTACATTTGCCCACAAAATACGCAGTCAATCCACTATACAGCATATTCTTCAAGTGCTTTGAGACGTCTCAAAGATGCTGTAACAAATGCAAGGATTATTATTCTCATCCAGCTTTTATTTTTAAATGGGAGGGAGAATGGAACACAAAATATTTAATGCCAAACTTTAAAACATTAAGAACATTAATATATTATTTTGAACTTTAAACCATTAAAAATATTATTTAGATTTCCATTGTATATTTATGAATCCAGTTCTCAGGCCATTGAAGCTTTACTGAGTTCTTCTGGTATGAATCATTGTAAACAGAAATGATCATGTCAATTTATAGTAAAACATTATCATTAAAATAAAACAATGAATAAAACAATAAAAATAAAACAATAAAACTACCCCCTATAGAATTTACCAAAAAGGAAGTATAGCTTGTGAAAAAAAACCTGTTGCAGTGTTGAGGGATTTCTACAGCTCTTTGTCAACAAAGAAGACTTAACTATGATGAGAAGTAAATACAGACATTCATAAGACAATGCAAAAAAGCCTCTCAGTGCATTATTAGTGCAGCTTTTTTCCTTTGACTTTTTTCAATCCACACTTTGTCAGTTGAGCACTCAAAAAACAAAGAGTTCAATTGGTTGATAACTCACCAACTATTTTCCCCAAAAAGTTTATGCTGCAATCTCAACTATGAGTAATTTTAAGATTATGAAGGGGATTAACAGAACAGAATTGAAATGGTGCAAATTGTATAATGTGGTGAAGATTTCAAATGCCAGGAGATTTGAAATTGGCTGAAATGGATTTCAAATTGGCTGAAAGGAAGGAAGCAGAGAATAGTCATTAGGTGAGCTAGGTCAAAATGGAGGCGGTATTAAGTGGGGGTGCCTCAGAGGTTTGTGCTGGGATCACTTCTGTTCCTAGCGTACATTAATACCTGGATTTACAGACTCAGTGCAAAATAATTACATTTGCAGATGACAATAAGTTGGGATGAACTGCGGAATTGGGGGAGGCAGGAAAGTCCTTACAAAGAGAGCTTTGTTGAGTATGCACGTAAGCTCATAACTGACAAATAAAGTTCAATATAGATAAGTGTATGGTGCCACACATAGGAATATAGGAGGCACATTTAATCCATTGGAAGGGATATAACTTGCCAAGGGGGAAGTTGAAAGAGACCAAGGAGTATAAATTGACTAATTAAGGAGAGCACTGAGGATGATCCCAGTATTAGAGGAATGAGTTATAACCAGCTAGGGCTGCTCAGCCTTGAAAGGGGATGTCTCAGACATGTACAACATTTTAAATGGGGTTGAGAAAATAAACTGCGAATACTTTTAGGTACCCTGAAGCAGCAAGAGGGCATAGATTTAGGATCGCAAAGGACAATTTCAGGACAGACAACAGTAAGCATTTCTTTATCCAGAGCATAATTAACAACAGAAGCAGGTTTCCAGAAATGGTGATTGAAGCCAGGATGCTGGACTTAATTAATAAACAGCTTAACCTGCTAATGGGAAAACATTAGGGTAGATATTTTGGAAAATCAAATGATCAAATGGCCCCAATCTCCCTTGCGAATAAGGAGGGATGTCAGGTGCAAAATTAAAGATAAAGGGTAAGGGCAATAGACTTGCAATATACGTGAAATAAGTTCCAGGAAATGTCATTAAAACAGACATTGAAATGGGTTCATGAGGCAACTAGAGAAGGGATTGAGGCATGATAGTGAGAAGAAAAGTTCACACTGAGGTCTAACAGAAAGTGATTTTTTTTGTCTTAATGCCCTTTTATGGTCTTAAAAATTCTTACGTTCTTAAGGTAGCAGTCAACTTTGCTCAGCATAGTATTACAAACAGCCAATTTTATTTGGAGCATTGAGACCAAGAGAACTTTTCTTTTCAAAATTGTTACCGTCCGCCTGAGAGGCAGATGGGATCTCAAGTCAACATCTCATCCAAAGAAGGCCATTGCGTTTTGCTCACAAAATAAACAGTCAATTCACTTTCCGGTATATTCTGTGAAGCGCTTTGAGACGTATCGAAGAGATGATAAGGCACTATCTCAAATGCAAAGCCTATTGTTATTATTCTTGCAACACTCCCAAAGCACTGCCCTGAATTGATACCCTAGACTGAAGTGCCAACGTAGGGCATGAACCCATAACCTAACCTTGCAAGAGACCTGCCAGCTGAACCAAGCTGACACCTCGAGATCAAATAAACTCAAAGGTGAGACGCGTTCCCCACAAAATACACCGTCACACCACTTTATCATATAAACCGTGAAGCGCTTTGAGTTAACAACGGCAACTTGTATTTGCGGTATAGAGTGCCCATGTCCCCGAGCGCTTGTCATTGAGACATTTTTATGCGATTGAGACATTTCCCGGAGATGTCTCCAATGATCGAAAAAGGGGTTATATCAAATGCAAGGATTATTATCTTTAGTCACAGATATAAGTTTGTTGTTGAACTGTTGCACTCAAAGAAATAAAGGGGGGGCGGGGGGGGGGGGGGGGAAAGGGGAGGGGTTAAGCTCACGTCGAAAGGTTCCCAAACGGTGTGGTGCGGGGCACGCTGGGAATGGCAGTCCAAAGCAGATGCAGTGACGGCCGAGCGGGTGTGCGAAAGACTACAACTCCCAGCAGGCGTCGCGGGCACGCGGGGGGGGGAGGTGGGGGCCGTTTTGTTTAGATCACGTGGCGGGTCACGGCCAATGAGCGAGGCGATCGGCGAGGAGGGAGGGAGGGAGGGGGTGGGCGGCGCTCGAGCGCGGAGCGCCCTCAGCCAGTGCGTGTTACCTGCCGTTACCGTGAGCTCGTCACGGGGGTGGCCCGGACTTACACACACACACACACAGAGAGCGTTAGCCTGACGTTCACTGGTACGCGGACTATCTTGTTTGTTTGTGACTCGGTGGAGACGGGAGCGTGGGACGGAGGACAAGAGGAAAAAGAAGGAGAAGGGGAGAGAGAGTGGGAGTGTGTGTGTGTGTGAGAGAGAGAGAGAGAAAAAAAAGATGTCTGGGTTCAGGCAGCTGCTGAGCGCTGCTTTCCTCCTGGCAGCCGCCCGCTGCTCCAGCTCGAGCGCGGAGCCCGGGAGCCCCCGCTCCTGTCTGCCCCCCAGCCGTTGCTCGTGCGTCGACGAGCTGCTGAACTGCAGCCGCAGAAAACTCTCCCGAGTGCCCGACCCGCTGCCCGGGTGGATCGTTCAGCTGTGAGTATCGTGGGTTACGAGGAGAGGAGAGGAGGAGGTGAAGGTGGTGGTGGTGGTGGTGGGGAGAGTGGTGGTGGGCAGTGCCTCGACCAGGGGCGACACACACACACACTCACACTCACACACACACACACACACCCTTTTTTCATATGTGTGGATAAAGGGAATGGGCGCATAAAGTCCGAGTTCGTCGCTTTCTGCGGAAAGTTATTGCCAGTGGTCGGATGAGAGAAGAGAGAGAGAGAGAGAGGAAAAAAAGAGGTTGGTTTCCAGAGGCGATTTTTTTTTAAAAAAGAAAGAGAGAGGTCTAACGGCGACTGTTGTTTGCTGCCAAGTTGGTGCGGGAACCCTACAGTCACACGTCTGTTCGGGGGTAAGAAAGGTGGGCCTTGTTACGGCCTCGGAGATGGACGCGAGTGAGTTACTGCACGTCGGGCTCGGGTCCAAATTCCTGCACAGTGCGAGCGGCGAGAGTGAGGGCTGTGACCGCACTCCACAACGCCGCTCGAGAGACCTCTCTCCTCTTTTGAGAGTTTCAAGTTCAATTTGTGGCTCTTCCCCCCCACACCACACACACACACACCCTCCCCCTCCCCTCCCCGTGTTTCACTGACAGAGTCGGTCTTCCGTTTGGTTATTTCTCTCCGGTTTGCACGTTTTCGGATGTTTCGCTTCTCGTGTCAGAGACGAGAGGACTTCAAACATTGCGATGATGGCGGTCGGTTTTGAATCCTGTGGGGTTGGGTGCTTTGAAATCGTTGGATCAGAAGAAGTCCGTTGATGTGTGTGTTCTGTGTGTTGGTTTATTTTTGGTCCAGATATTCCGCGTTTTTCATTTGGACGTTGAAATGTATTTTCTAAAAACCGTCCCCGGTTGCATTGAAGTAATTGGTGGACGGTATCAGTAAAATTGCAACAGCTACACGATTTGAACTTGGATTAGTGTAGAAAGGATTGTTGTCCTGTTGTCACTTCAGTTGTATTGCATTCAGAATGTAAACAATGCCCCCGGACTCTGTTTTTACAGAGGACTCGCTCTCAGATTTTCTATTAATGTTCATTGAAGTTTGAATTATTGTTGTAGCATTGTCTACAGAAACGACCGCAGAAAATTCGAGGTTGGTTGATTTAAGGTCAACTGTCCATGAATTATTGTTGGTCCCTGGTGCCATACACTTTTAAAGTAATCGAACAACCAGCTGTTGTAAATTTTATAACTGTTTGTTCATATGGGAACAAATGTGTGGCAGAGAGTGCAAAACTTTAAGTAGCGATGCTTGCAATTAGTTGGGGCTAATTCCTTTCAGATTGGCTAATCTGGAGGTTATTCCATCTCTGTGTGAACAGTCTTATTTAAACATGTGGTCTAAGATTTGAACGTCTACTGAATCCATAATTTCCAAGAATAATGTAATAACAGTAATAAATCTTAACCAAACTAGTTTGACAGTAGAAACCGTTTTAAAGAGCAAACTATGATAAACTTAATAAAGTGCAAACAAGAAAAGTTTTGCTATTAGGAAAGTATATTAAGTTTTTAATGTTTTATTCTGCCAACACCTTCCAGACATGAAATGGATCCTTGCATATTTTCTGATGGCTGGTATATCACTTGAAATACAATAACCTAGTTGTGGTCAGGATCTCATTTTGTTAGATTAACCTTAACCTTAAATAGGTAAATGAATGTGTTTATCTACAGTTTGAAATTATTGTAAAACAATGGCTTTTGAAAAGATGCAGTAGGTTGGCTTTTTGTTTCAGTGTTAGCTACAAAACTAATCCTGCAGCTGGTGTTGTACTTAAGCTTCATATGATTTATTCCCTTATTTTAATCACTTCAAAGATGTCCATCTGCACCACACATTCCTTCAGATCAACAGAGAAGTGTTTATGAGAAGAGCAGCTGTGAATGGTTTCCAGTTCTGTAAATAAGCACTAGCTGTGGTGTAAGTCCACATGCTGTGATCACCCTTTCGATTTGATCAAAAAGTCACAGGGAACATCTTTTGCATTTATGCCAAAAAATGTGTTTATCATAATGTACAAATCAGGATTGCTGGCCGTTAACCAAATCTTTTTCTTGGAGAAACATTACACCTTGTTGGAAGGGGGTGGAGGCAGTTTCTGCTCTGCCCTTGTGCATTTAATTATGTCTTGGGAGTTGTTGAGGTGTTCGATAGTAACTTACAAAATTGTCACCATGAAGATTCTTGTGACATTGCATTTTTCAAATGCGTGCTTCCAGAGAATCTCGTATTTGTGTGAAGCAGAGGAAATTAAAGAATTGAAAGTTAGTGACATTAGCTGGTAGAGGCTAAAATACTATGATTTAAATGTATTGAACTTTCACATTCAAAGATTATTTTAATCAACTACATTCTCTGCTTTCAGAAATAATTTGATATAGCAGCTTAAATTAGTGATAACAAAGTTATTTATTTTATAATCGATTTAGAACTATGCACACTACCAGCTGGGAGGACAAGGTGATCTGGGTGAGGGAAGTCTGACCACTGTTCAAGCCATTTTATGATTGGCAAGCAAAAGCCATGAATGGAGTAGGGCAGGTTGGATAGCTTTCCTTATTTCCTGTGGCCCCTAGCTGGAAAACATTACTTACACAAGCAACCCAGGCAGCCCTGTTACGTGCACATGTAGGTATCCGTCACAGTGGAACAAAATGAGGGTTTTCAGCTGCAGCTCCTTGGTTTGTACTGTTGCCCAGCCCTTGGCGTAAGGCATTGACCAAGAGGGTGAAAAAAAATCTTAACATTCATACAAAGTTATTGATTATGAGGAGCAAGTTGGTGAGAGGGAGGGGGTGGGGAGATCTATAAATACAATGAATAAAAAATGAAAAAGCTAGAAGAATAAAAAAAAACTTGGAATCAAATGATCAACTACTTATTATGGGTCTAATAACTTGGACTTTGTGCTTGTAATGTTTGTTCATTTATTTCTGTAACAATTTTTCTATATACAATATTAATGCTGTTTCAAATTCGATTGATAGGCTAAAATACTCTTAAAAATTAATCAAAACTTTGAAAAGATATTCACAATGACAGTATGTCAAAAAGGCGGAGTTTTTGTGAAAATTGGATCTTAATTGGCTTCAGTTTAAATTTGTTTAATTTTGCTAAATTTAATTTTAGCAGCTTGTAATACAGTATGAAGGCAAATTTATTTTTTTCTTTTTGTCACTTCTGTTCAAACTTTAAATGAATTCACACCTGACAATACTCTACCACTGCAAAGTGCAGAACTAAGCCACCCAAGCCACAAGATTGTTACTCAGTGACCCATACTTCATCAGCTAGTCACAACCAATATTCCTTGTTGTTTGTACAGTAAAACCTACATAAGTCACACCAGTCGAAACCATAACATTTAATATGCCTTACACAACGTTCGATTTGCAGGCAAGCTATCAGTTGTGTTCAATCCGATTTTATCAATCTATGCTGCGCATGCATAATTCAATGCAGCCGGTATGTGCACGTGCAGTAGTTCGTCATTGCGGCTGATAAGTGGGCATGTGGTGACGGTCAAGACTGCATTTCTCGCTATTCATTGCATCTTGACCCATCACTGCAAGCGTACTTACCGGCAAGCATTAGAATCGCATTGAATTATGGGAAAGAAGGTCTTGTACGCATGTGTCGATGGGTCAGGTCATCATTTCCCGCCACTCAAAGCAGCCGGTAAGTCTGGGAGTAATGGCAGGTAGGGGAGCGTAGTTAGGAGGTGGTTAATACGAGTAGTGCAAAGAAATTAAGTGGCTTTGAAAGGAAACTGAATGGGATTCGGATGAATATACAACTTGGGCAATTATACAATTTTTAAAGCTAAGACTTATGTGAATTTTACTGTTTCTGTTGACAACTACATATGTAGATTATGCTTGACTGTAGAAACAGTGTCAGTGACAGGACCACTGACTATTAAAAATAATGATCCTTGTACTTGATCTAGTGCTTTATCATAAAACGTCTCAAAGCACTTCACAATTTTCTGTAAAGTGCGGTGACTGTATGTGTCTGTGTTTTGCCTACAAATATACAGTCAATTCACTTTACAGTATATTCGGTGAAGCGCTTTGAGACGACTAGAAGATGTGAAAAGGGGCTATATCAAATGCAAGGATGATTATTCTTATTATTAGTATTGTAGGCAATGGTAGCAGCCAATTGCGCTCAGCAAAATTCCACAAACATCCATAAAAGTGAATGACTAATTTTTTATCTTGGTGATTGTTGGCCAGAGTACTAGGAGAAACTCCTTCCTCTTTTTGAATAGTGCTGTGGGATCTTTAACATCCACCTGAACACCAGACGGGATCTCGGTTTAACATTTCACCCAAAGGACGGCACCACCAACTTGCAGCACTCTCCCATCACTGTTTGAGTGTCAGAGACTTTGAGCTTAAAATTGCAACATGGTGCTTGAACCCACAATTTTCTAACTCGTGAACGAGAGAGAACAGAGCCAGACTGACTTGCGTGGTTAAGTAAGCGGCACCTGTGAAATCACACCCCGAGGTGACTGATCACCTTCATAAATAATTGACAGAGAACATTTTTTGGCTTGCATAGAGTTAAACTATTGGACAAAGGATGCCTTGGGAAAACTTGCTTTTCTGTAGGGCTGTCTAAGAAGACTGAAATGTTCAGGTGGTGTTTGTATTCCAGTAGTGTGCAGTGAAGCAGAGAATTAGCTCTTTGTTGTTGGTGGATTGCAGTTTGACTCATTTATTTGTTCTTTTGAAACTGTGGTCATAGTCCTAATTGTTTTAAATAGTTCAGCACCTGTCAGTTGCAGTGTAGACATGGAAATTTGTCTACATATTTGTCTACAAATATTCTATTTGAGCGGTGCTTCAATATGAAAGTCATAATTGTGATTAAAAAAAATTAACATAATGATTGTCATATCTGTAAATTAGCATAAAATGTTAACTGGTCTCCATGTCTTTATGTTAACAAAATGAAACTTGT